ATTAAAAAATAGTTTTTAATTGCATGCAGATAGTTAATTACAATAAGATAATAAAAGGATTGGAAAAGGATAGTCAACGCAGTCAATAAAGTTCAGTTTTCGCTCGAAGGAGTCAAGTCGAGCGGTAAAGAAACTTCGGAAGGCCGCCATCTCCGAGCGGAATTCCCTCATCTCCTTCATGCAGTCGGCCAGCATACTTTTTATATCACTGGTGTGATTATTTCCGGTGGCGTTCTCCTTGGCCTTACCCTGGACCTCATCTTTCTTTGCAGAGCCCCTGGCCAGGTCGACAGATTCCCGTACAGCAACCGGTTTTTCGGGCTCGGAAGATTCGCTGATACCCTTTACAGGCGTATGCGTGTTGTCACCACTGCGTGTGCTCTTCTTGCAGTTCGGGCATATTCAGTCAGTCAGGGCCAGTCCTTTGCTGACACGTGACTTTTCCGGGATGGCTAGGCAGGCCTTATGATATTTATTCGGCATGCACAGCAAACAACAGCATTGCCCGGCGCCATAAAACTTCCACAAGCTCCACAATTTACCATCTTTAGTCCAAAAAATTAAATTATAATTATAAAGTCTAAAAAAAGGGAGACAAAAAAAATAAGAACAGGTGCTTGGGTCTAAAACAAATATATATAAAAAAAAGGAAAAAAAATACGAGTGCGGGATTTGAACCGACGACCGCGGTGATGCGTAGAATGGTGGTCCCGTGCGTGGTAAAAACTTAATACACTGCGCCATATAGATCGATAGTGGAGTGGCAAAAATTGGTATTATAAGCACTCTTGTCAGCATATTTGCGTTTCGAATTTTTTTGATTCAGTCGCCGCGCTCAAAGCTATACAATAGCTTAAAATATTGTGAAAATAAACAATAAGAAATCGGAAATTCGATGACACTCTTACAACAGTAGAATAATCGCTGGAACGATGACAACCAGTGATTCGTACTATGAACAAAGGATAAAATCGCGAACTAATTTCGTGAGCTGCTTAAGTAATTCGGCGAAGTGCGCGGCTGCCAACGTCAAACTTTGCCAGTCTATTAACCAGCACGTCATTTTCTAATTACTCGATACTGCTATCACCTGGTGCTGACGGCGCTTCTGGGTGCCCCATTGCCCATTATAACTTGAACCATTTATCCCAACTCTTCACCTGAAGTTTAAGGAGCAAACGCTATGCCAAAGAGGTCTCACTAAATTTGACGCCTCACCTCAAGAGAAGTGCGACTTGCGAAATGTTTAAATGACAGTTCTATTATAGTAATGTGTCAAACTTACGTATTGGGTGTCTGATTAGGTGAGATGAAGAAATAATTCTACCGAGTGAATGGCGGTTTGGTTTATATACTAAGTTTTTAAGAATGAATGAAATTAAACATAAAAATAGTAGCTATAAGATTACTTGCAAAACTTACTTAATCTGAAATGTTTTAATCGCTTTCTATATAATACGAAACCAAAAATGATCCTATTGTATTCGAAACATGCCAAGGCTTGATCTTATCCAAATATTAGTGTATAATTATTTTCAATTATTTTTAGCTTGCAAGAAATACGCAAGATATATATAATACAATACCAAAAAGATCTTAATCTTAAAGTGTTTGTAATTGTCTTTATTGGAATACCAGATTTCGTTCAGCAAGCATTCTGTTTATATTATGATGTTTAGAGTGCAGTCAACCAATATTTAGGTACTTAACTAACTTGGGAAATTCACGGCTTTCCCAGATCCAATTTCATGCTTTTGATTCGCGATTTCACTGTTATCAATTTGTTAATTTCTATTAAGAAACTTACCGGATTAATTACAGTTACGGTGATATAATTAATATGCGTTAAGACTTAAATTAGATATAACGTGAAGATGGAAATTAATTATAATTAATAAAGTTTTAACGCTTACAAAAACATGAGTTCTCGAAATACATAGACATCTTTAGTCTAATAACAATATTCTTGACGGTTCTTTCACTTTATAGGTGAGCATCCATTTGGGTAATTTATTACTTTCATCTTACACAAGACTTTAATAAAATAGTTAACACAACCTTTTGATGGTGTTGGTGTTTCAGTTGGTGAATAAGGTAGGTAGGTAGGTAGGTAGGATATTGGGTTCAGGTTGCAATGTGAGGATGGGTGGAACGGCATATTTTCTTGCTGCACCTGCTATCTTCGCTAGCTATACTTATATTTAACATACGATGGGGTAAGGGCAATGGCTCTACTTTTGTATGAATGAAAATCTTTAGTATTGTGATCTCGCATTGACTAAGGTAACCAAAGACGACGGCTTAGGAGGGAATGAGGTCGTGAAATGTATGGAGGCTAAGAAGCAGTTTATCGCCGCAAAAGCTGTCTTCGAGACTGGACTCCACTAACTAATTCATAAATCAGGTGAGGCGAGGATAATGCAATTGTAGAAAGAAAATGCGAAAAAAATCTTATCTCAAGAGAGAACGACAGAAAAATACTTTTTTATGATTTCAGTTGAAACTTTTAATATATTTCGAATTCAATTCTTGGTCATTTGAGAATAAGAAAACGCAACGCTTCTTTAACAAATAAATCCTAAAAGGTGTCACCTTTACTTCTAATGAAGGTAAAAGTATTTATGTTTAATTTATTTCACTTTTAAAGGATAATTGCTGCATATTTCATTTTAACTTTTACAGAATTTAAAAAATATTTAAGAGAAATAAAGGGTTCATTCGTACTAAAAAAAGTGAGTGTGTTTTGTGTCTAAACTTAAATTGCATATCATTAAGTTTACAATTCCAAGTAAACTATTTAAATGTAGGTAATTGTAAAGTCTGCTACTTTAATATGTATCTAATCAAACGTATTACGCAATCTTACCATTGTAATATTGATCAAATCAAATCATTTATTTACAAAAGCTACTAAGTTCGCCCCGCGACTTGGTATGTTTATTTTATTATTCAATTTTGTTATTTCTCGTGCGCACTGATATGACATATAGGAATATTAAAATTAACTAACAATATTCCGGGGAATAGTTGCGATATCCCCGAGAATAGTTAGAAATTTCTCTTAAAATTAAGCTTTTAATATGAGCAGCAAAGGTAAAAAGACGATATTTTACCCTGCGTTCCCGTTACACGGCAAAGGGTACAGGTAAAAACGGTATCTACTTTGAGAAACAAATATCAAAACATAACAAACAATACGAGGTACAGATTTCAGTGGTATCGCCCGCCCAACTCTAGCTATGCGACGCTGAAAACAGTGCATTCCAATGTGTGGCATTGTACAGAAACATTCAAACTTTGCAGACGAATTCGATCTGCATGAATCCGAGCAACAGCAACAGTTTACGTGCAAATTTAACCTTTATAGCCGCCCCATAAAATACACAATGCCTTGGTGATTTTATTGTTTGGGACTCGGACCATTTTCAAGGTAAACTGCTCCGTGGTAAGCTGCGGATACATATTATCCGAATATTAAGTTTTACGTTCGATTCGAAGCCGCAGATTTAATTTATACTTTGTATTATTAATTAGAATTGCGAATCAATAAAAACTTGTCCGAAATGGTAAGTTACTTTAGTATACAAATGAAATGAAATGATACTTTATTCAAACGGTTATTGAAAGCTATTTTGAATCGTCCAATATTTTTTCCTACCGCCCATCCAGGACATCATTTAGCTGATGACAAGAATGGGCGCAAGAAACTCATCTACTCAATACAACATCCACTCACATTTTCATTGCTGTGTCATACAGTATAAATACAAACAGTATTCATATCGAGTATACCTAGATACCATCTTAAGAGTTACGCAGTATAGAGTAGACTCAACCCCGCTGGCAACACCCGTTCGCGAGCATGATGCATGAACCAGCTATCGTTTCGCTCAACCGTATTTTAGGGAACGTAACGACCCGCCTCACACGATACGACGAAATAAACATTGTATCTTTAAAAAAATGGCCAGGGTTCCGTTTCTGCCGATTGATGTACAAAACCCTAAAAATATTGAAAACGCTGATTCGTAATGTACTCTGTAAGTTGTGATGAAAACAAATGCTTTTAGAGGTTAGACTCACGTTTGGCCTGATTTTTCATACAAATAGCCAAAATGTGATATAACGCCAATTATAATCCGACTGTGATATAATATGTATTACAAAAGCCAGTGTTAAACAAAGACCGTGTTAGTACCATAACAAAGAATTGGGGAACTTATCACGGTTCATCCAGCGAAGCGTGAAGCTTACTCCCCCTTAAATCTCATTGCACAGTTCACTACCTTCCGTCTTAAGAATTTTATTGTTGTTAATTAAGAATCGGTGGGCGCCGATAACGAGATTATTGCATAGACGTTTAATTATTAAATGGTTCTTATGGGCACTGAGGCGTGTCACGAGGAGCGTTTTATTAAATTTGTTTTCTTTTTCCTTTTACGAGACTCAGAATTGGCTGCCTTATTAATACTGGCGCTTTGAAATGTTGAGATGAGAGAGAAAAAATTAGAATTATAACTTTAACGTACATTAGAATAGAAATAATTAAAATGATATTAAGAACATTCTTAAGTTCCTTTATCCTCATTACTTTCGTTAAGTTTCTTTTTGCGATATAGATATTTTAAGTGAAAGTTAGGTAATATAACAAACAGAAATATACTAAAAAAATTACAAGTTATTTCGGCTGTCGATCCGTAACCTATCTGCTCTTCTATTTTGAGCTAACTACCAAACTCTATTTGAATTATTAATTTTCTATCAAATCTTCCATAAGCTGCTACAGCGCCGACTTTTGTATAAAGAAAGATCTTCATTAAATATATACAAAAACCATTTCTATAACTTCAGCTTTCATAGCAAAAATCTTACTCATATGTTTGCGTTGGGGCTTAAAAACATTTCATAGCATAATTAATCCCATTTTCTGCGATCATGATTCTGAGTTTAGATTAAATTTACTTGCGTCCCTTGAACTTGAGTACCAGCGAACTAATTACCAGGCTGCCATGAACGGCTGGAGGTGACAAGAAGAGCCGTATTGATTCACTCTTACTATCGGCTGAGGTCAGATGCGCGCGGCTGCACTGGGCCACTGGAGCACTGCACCATAGTCCACTCCGTGCTGTTTGATGCACATCACGCGGTAGTAGCTTATCCTGAAAGTATACCCATGAACATGTTAAAAGTGGTGCTATTCGAAAGTGGAAAACGTGAAAGTGCTTGAGACAAACATAGATCCAAGAACCATCTTGTACTGTTATATATCTGGACTGAGTGAAATATTTTATATTAAATTTTGAAACAAGCATAAATAATGCTTAAAGTTACAATATCACAATATACCATCACGGACGATAAATTGGAATTGAAAACCTTTTAAGTTTCGAACAGTACTTACGCTAATCTTGATTTTATTAACCGTGAATTATTAAGCCCTTCAATCAATCGTACCGAATTGATACGATTTTACTGAAATTCAGTTAACTGTATATCTCCTGTATTTATTGTTAAGTATTATAATATGTACGAATACAACTGAAGTAATTCTCGTCGTTATTTCAATAAACATTTTCGCATTTCATTATATTTCAGCCTTTGATGTAAAACATAATTCATCGAAAATTTAATATTGAATATTTCTTGTGCTTACAGAAAAGGTTGTTCAATGTGTTTTTTCTAATAAGGCACACAGACAGAGTTATTTCTTAAGTGCAGTAAAGTGTTGAAGTGGGGTAATAAATACAAGAAAAAAAACGTACATTTATGATTATTTATGACTTCTTATTTTAAACTTCCCATTAACGTACACTTGGGCTTAATTTTCACTATCATTTTTTTTCAATACTAGTCCGTCCTCACTTTGCTTGAGTTCATACTTTAGATTTTTTTCTCGGGTCCCTTCCTTCCGTAAAAAAATACACATCAGAGAACCACATGAAAATCTGTTTTATAGTTTTACAGACAAAGAGACGAGGCGGGGCACTTAGTTTTGTAATTGTAGAGCAGTGGCGTAGCTACCGCCGTATCTGCAGTATCAATTATACGGGGCCCCACGGGGACGGGGCCCAAACGGGCGTAAGAAGAAATTAATAAAAACTTCCCATTTCAAAACTTTCCCACAAAAGTAAAAAAAAACAATTTATTTTTTTCCCGCTTAAAGTGTGCGTTCGCAAAACCCTACGTCGGTTATGGCGGGCTGCGCGATTTCCCCGTTTAATTCATTTACTTGAACACGGGAATCCCACAATAATTGATGTACATACGATACTACGATAAACCGCGGAGTAACTTTTGTCCATAGAGGCAGAAACTTTAGAAAAACTTAAGTCATCATCAGCTGTAATTGATTTAATGAATCAGTTTGCTGAAGAAAGGTAAGGAGAGTGTATATTTAAATTGAATTATTTGTAAACATTTTGGAAAATGTGACAGATAGATAATGATGATAAATAAATATTTCTTTTAATTTTATGCATATATTTTTTTTCTTTTGTGAGAAATCTTTACCCTTCGTAAGGGCTCCCAAAGAAATTTTTACACGGGGCCCTGCCAAGGCACGCTACGCCTCTGTTCTAGAGATTTTTATTTAATTTTCTTCCTAAAGCCTAAGTAGTTTCGTATAGCCATGGTTTATTTATTATCTATATTCTGTGATATTTCTATCTAATAAATAATCTATTAAGCAATACCATCATGATTTCGTTCCTAACGAGCCCAATAAATTACAAGTTCCCATCGCCTACAGTTTTCAAATACATTCGTTGATAGGCTTTTGCTATCTTCGCTGGAAAGTAAACATTTGACGCCCTTTTTTTATAAAATAATAGTATAGAATTATACTATAGAAATAATACAATAGAATAGAAATATACTCCTCAATGAAAATAAAAACAGATATCAAATAAAAACTTAAATAATAATAAATTAAATAATAAAATGACTTTGGCTCAGCATAATGCCGCAAAATGCTGCTCCGACGCTGTTATACTACGAACGCGCTCTCATACCAGCATACACAGCACAGCACATAACAGCATATACAGCATGTGAGACACATGGATGAACTACATAGTATAATATCAAGTCAAGCGTTGATAAATACAAATTTCACACGAGAATTCGTAGATTCAAATGTAATATTGAAGAGCTTGGAAAAAATACAATTCTTTATTCTTTAGTGAAAACAAATGTTAAAAATGAATATTTTAGACTATTCACCAAAGTTAATCAGACGGGTCATGCATGATTTATCGCCAAAGTTTCTCTAGAAACTAAATTTTCGTATTTGGTAAAACAACAGAAGCAATTATTCACAGTAACCTGAACCGAAGTTTTGTCTGGAGATTTTTCAAATAAACCAGCAGTGTTCCGATTTAATTCTGAATGATGCGTTCGGAGCCTTCGCTTATCGGATCGTCTCGCTTGCCGTCACACAATCTTCTAGAAATTTCTTTGAGGCGTAAATACGATTTGCAATACAAAATCCCATGGAGGTGCAATGCAACAAACGCTTTAGAAACATTGTCACGTTCGGTACTGTCGGATTTCCGTAGTCTTTATATTAGTTTGAAGAAGGTGGATATAGGAAAATAAAACATTAAATAGAACTATGTAACCTTTATATAACTATCGTTTATATCTGTAATAGGTTTGTTACGTTTTCAAAGTGGATAATAAATAATTGATAAATGTTGCAAATCAAAGTATTTATTGCATGTTTGTACTTACTGTATTTAAATAAAAATCTGACTATAAAGTTAGCATAATCTATATTTTTTAATGTTAATAATTACCAAATTAGTTTATTACTAAACATCAGATTATTATTAATGCAAATCAATAAAAATTTAGTTTGAGATGAAAGTTTCTATTACCGATTATTTTACGCAGACTTAGTTACTGGTATATTGACAAAATCATTATTAAATAGTCACCGTGATATTGTATATTCAATAACTGAGTTGTAGGCAGTACTTAAATAAGACAAAATGACAAGTTTCTTTTCGTGAAGTGGAGATTAACAGTACTATGACCGATACGAAACCATGTATTTGCCTTTAAAAATATTTTGTTGAAATTCTGAAAGCTACAATCATAATAATTTACGAAAATAAACGAAACGACTGCCTGGTCAACAAAATTAAGTAAGAATCAAATATCTAGCCATTTTTTACATCTTGAAAATAAATATTGTTTTTTTTTAAATCATTTCCAGTATGCTTAGTGGCGATGTTGGTAGGATTCTAAGGTTATAAAAGACTCATCATTTATGGTGTATTTAATAATATCACATATAAACATACAAAAATACAGGACTACTGAAAAAATTACTCTCCTATTTTGTAAAAAAAAAACACCATGGAACAGCGAAATGTCTGTTACCCTTTCGTTTTCATTCCGCTCTAAACATATTTGTCCCTTCAGACTATTGCTCATAAACAATTAACTAGCAGCAAGATTAGAAGACATAACACCGTCGTAACATTTTACGGTACCATTAAAATACTTATAAATTCGTTGTCTTCACGGGTTATTGCTTGTGCATAATCTGGTTGTGAAAGCGAACGTTTCCCTTGGGAGTGAAGCGCTCAATCTCTGTCGTCTGGCCCTAACTGGAATATGTCCAATAAATACCTGTTTAATATCACGTGACGTTATTGCCGTTCACTTTGATATTATTAGCCCTTGAACTTTGCCTTTGAAAGAATTGAAATCTTATGAAGCGTAACTAACTTCAAGATACAGGTACTTTCTGAACTTTGTCAAAGGGCTTGAAGCCTGAAAACCGAAAAGTGAACATTCACTAGAGGAGTCTTCAGAATTAATCTCTAAATGTGTTCATGTTTGTATTTACGTTTTTAGGGTCTTACATAGTAATCAACATTGAAATGTTAAAAGAAAATAAGCCTTAATTCACTTTAAGGTATGTTTTTGGAGTTTGTTTTTTTTTTTAATAAAAAGATGCAATTTGTTTGGTTTTATATAGGTACATATAATTAATAAAGTAAATAAGTCTGACTGTCGTATCTAAGCACCTAAGACAATTATATTATTTTTTTGGATATAAAAAATATTTATTATATAATTAAGTAAAATCAATAATCGTTAGCTTAGCATAGGAAACATAAATCAAGAGATTTTATTGATAAAAACATATTGTGACAATCAAGATTTATATATCGATACAATTTCTTAAAAAATTACATTTGAGGCCAAACAGGATGTTATTGCTTAGATATTGCAACTCTTTTGAATAGTCCAATCAATGAGTTCAGTAGATTTTTATGTCATTCACATGTAGGTATCACATTTTTTTGAAACTTGTTAAGTTTGAAAGTGTGTACGGTGTGCCAGTGCTGACTGTACTAAGGATAGCACTTGTTCACAAAGGTTCTAAAATAGTATATTGTGCCTGAAGTGGAAAATAAAATAGTACACGTGTACGAATGCATTTCTTCGTCTCTGTTGATACTCTCCCTATTCTTAGGTATAAACGAATTGATATCGACAATTGCAAAGCTTATACTATATAGCTTGCTACTTTGCTGCAAATTATAAACCTAGGATTATTTTTGTTAAGCATAAATTATAATCATCATCACCAGCCTATTAATATTCCCACTGTTGGGGCACAGGCCTTAGCTGTGGATAGAACAGGGAAATTGGGCCATGACCCACCACTTGGGCCAAGTGTGGATTGGTGGTTGCTAAAGACTGCAGATGCTGCCGGGACCAACAGCTTAACGTGCCTTACGAAGCACAGAGGAGCTCAAGATAATAAGTTGCAAAAGTTGCTTAATTTAAATAATAAATAATCGCACGATCGCAGGCCTGCGCGATCAAGTTCCTCCGTTAGGCATAATATTCATATGTTATTCAATATTGGACTGGAGTGTAAGAAAATATAAAATAACAGGAGGCAGGAGTTTAATACATAGTGACAAATAATATATCATATCACAATTCTTCACACAGCGGACGACTAAGACTGCTTTTCTATTTTGCATGTCTGAAATATACATAACTTTATTCGCGACAGAAATGCTGATGTAAATAGAAGTTGAGAGTGTAAATGGCGCAGTTCCCATCGTAAATCAAGACGGATTATCTCTGGATACGTCTCCACCCAGAATGTTATGGTCTGTGCATGAATAATTTATTCTATTCTATCCTATAAAGGTACCTACGTTAACGGTTTTATCAACATATGTGTTTTTGATGGATGTTTGCATGCTTCTTAGTGTTCACGATTTCGTGTAAATTTACTTAGAACTTTGCATGGTTTAGAACTTGTAGGCAAATATTAGACCTGACTTTGCAACGGAGAACTTTATTAGTTTCTCTGATATAGCACTAAGTATTCATAGAATATTCAACAGTATGCAAATAATATGTTTTAAAGATTAGGAGTTATGAAATAACAGTTCATTTAGAAGAAAAGAAACACTTACGTTGCAATATTAAATATTTGAATGAAAAAGAAAAGTTTGTATCTCCTAAATCCATTTATTAGTAATTAAAAAGAAATACATACAAAATATCACGCTGTAATTGACATCTTCATAAAAAAATTTGTCGATGTAATTTTGAGACCATGTAGGACTTTGTACTTAAAAACCAGATACGGTGCACTGAATTCTCTTCGTATTGGATCGTCACTAAAAGTGGGAACCTATCCCCACTGTGCCATATTTATTAAAAAGTCAACATACCTTTGTGAAACGACATTTATCTCCGCTAGCACGTGTCGTCCGACCCGGCGTTTGCTCCAACACAGAATTTAGGATGTAAGCCGAAATTTATGGTCACCAGTACCCAGATAAAAATTGTATCGCCCCAGCTTTATTTATCGCATCGACTCGGGAATTTTTCGAGTGTGTTTGTGTTTTTTTTTCGAGTTTTCGACTCTTATCGCTTGATTTGTCTTTTACGATCGCGAGGTGACTTTTGACTTCATATTTTTGTGTTTATAACGATGTTTTTATTTGATTGCTCGTCTTTTTGCTTTACTTGTATTATTTTGGTATGATTTATTTTGAAACTGTATTGTATGTGCCTTCGATTAGCAGCAAAATAACATGGAAACAATTAGAAATACCAAGATGATTGTTATAGACTAGTAACGTAAGCAATATAATTTATACTATACATAGAATTTAAACTACAAAAGCTTAAAAAGAATTATATTAAAACTAACCCACTTAAGCAAATACAATTTTCAAAATAAAATATATATCACCTCCAGCGCTGAAGTCAGAAATGATGCCCAATAAATAGGCTGGCAGCATTACCTCTTTGGATAACAAGGCTAATAATCCGTTGACCAAGGTAGCTGCCAGCCTCTTGATCACCAGTCGCCTCGGTGTGTATTCATTTTTATTTTAAAGAAACGAGATAGAGGTGACAAAATGCTAACTAAGCTAAAGATGATCTGAAGAAGTAGCTATTGTACAGATATATTTAATAATCTTGTTGTATTATAGTACTTACGTTACTTTTGAAGGATTAATTAGCATAACCTTTTCCACCCTTAAGGAATGTAGCATAAAACATATAAAGTTGGCTTACTAATCGGTGACTATGCTTCCGTGAACACTAATTATTTAATAAAATTCGGTCAAAATAGGGTTGTAAGACTTCCATCGTTTAAGATTATTATTTTCGTATTTTGGACTTGCTTTAGTTAATTTCTTTCTCAATTGTAAGTCAAATTTCAAGTATGATAAAATAATAATTAAAGGTCTCAAAAACTTTTGTATAGTATTTTAGAAGGGTTGCTTTACTTACATACTGTTTTTTATTGTGTAATTATTACAATTGTAATAAAACACAGTACTCTTATTCAGGGACATCTGCAACACCAGTAGACTTACTATTACCTACCTACCTAATATTTGTAATAAAAGTATTACTTGCCATTGATTAGTGCCTTTATAAAAACATTCAAATATATTTCACACAACATGTTTCTCATTTGCAAAATTAGAATTTACGATCAACGGTTTAGTGGTCAAGGTACTTAACCACACGCCTACTAAATGTAAAGGACCTTTATTTTGTTACAGACCAAAAAGAGGGATATATAGTAATAAATTAATTAAAAGCACTAATATGGCTGGTTATCTTTAGTACACACAAGTTCGAGAGCTCTTTAAGGTTTTCTAGGGATTTTCGTTGCGGCCTCGCAGTCTGCGGTGTGGTGCGATTGAAATTTTTCGAGTGGAAACAACAGTGCTGCATATGATGTAAAATTTCTGTTCTAGAAGGAACATAATATGAAGAATTTTGATTATTGACAATTATTATTTTGAATTAACTTTCTTTTTGGTTTCATCATATCATTCATTTATTCATTACCTATAATGTAGTATTTTAGTTTTGTTACTTCTGCTTTCTTATTACTAATGTTTGTACTCCTGGTCATATTCTGCTCACTTGGATTGGTATATATATATATATATTTATATATATGTATATTATTTATCTTGGACGCTTAAGCGATTATGAATTGTTTTGGGATATATGTAAAGAAGGGAAATATGGTACTTTGAATCGCGAAAATAAGTTTTAATGAGAAGAAAATGGAAATAAAAAATTGTATGCACATGATTATTGTAATGGTTTTTAAGTAATATACCAATTACCATTTAAACTTCGATTCATACTACTTGATAAGGAAAATATTAATAAAGAAACACCCAATAAAATATTCAATTAAACTTATCTGTTTTACTGTTCTCATTAATATAACAGCGAAAAGGTTTTACAATAAACAATTTTAACAAAAAGCATAACTCACAAGACTCATCTAGCAACTGTATTTCTGGATGGCGCCAGTACTTTAGGGTTCAACAATAAATAAACTGCGGCGACACGCGGCCGCTGTCTGCAGCGATGGCAATTGAAATTTCATCCCGGCTTTACTCGCATCGACTCCAATAAAATCCTGGGAAGTAAACAAAATACGGTCGCACGAGGGGAGGTTAAATCATAAGCTAGTAATTTTACGATAATCGCCGAGGATAACGCTGTATTTTTTATTATATCTATGCCGAACCCGAGGTATAACCGAACCGATTTGGCATATTTGCTACAAGTGGCCTAAGAACTATAAAAACTGCGAAAGGGGTCGCAGTTTTGGCGTGACATTATAATAGGAAGAGATAACTTAACCTTCTAGCTTTAGGGCCTGTCACCGCCTTGGGACTCGTACTGAGGAACGCCCACGTCCTACATTATTAAAATTTCCTGAGCACACAATGAGAGTTGCCATCTGGATGAAGAAAACCTCTCTGAAGGGCCATTGCCATATTCCATTTGACATCTCAGAGTTTCTAACCCGTAGAAGGCAGGCACTGTTCATGGTTGCTCGCAGACGGCTAGGCATCAGGAACTGTTGGTCTCTGGATGCAGAAATATTCATCAAACTCTCTAATAAATAATAATAAAATAAACATTTCCAACACACACACCAATTAGCTTAGCCCCAAAGAAAGCAATATAAGGCTTGTGTTATGGGATACTAGGGTAACGGATAGAATACATATACTGTACACATATTTATATATATATATAAACATATAGTATATTTATATAGAAACACATATTATACATCCATGACTGGAGTACAAATGCACGTATTCATCACACAAACATCTTCCCCCACCGGAGACCTTTCGAGTCGGCCACACCATGAAACCCGGCGTACAAACCACTCGGCCACGGAGGTCGTTTAATAAAATTATTATCTGAAGAGGAGCTTAATACATTGATTCTAATGATTCCATTTTTTTAGTTCCTGTTTCTCGTGTACTGGACAAGCAAACTTCTGCGACGCAACGCAGCACTCAAAGCAAGAGTGTCGCTCACTGCACCCATTGCATCAGACTGATGAACTTCATACGAAAAGTAGATTAACTTCTGAAGAAGAGCTTGCTACATTGAGCTGTGACTCCAGCGTCTTGGCTCCCGATCCTCGCGCTGTGAGCAAGCAAACGGCTACGGTGCAACGCAACATTCAGGACAAGCGTGTCGCCATGCAACAACAGAACAATGAACTTAACATGAGAAGTAAGCGGACTGTTTAAGCAAACAAGTAGATTGTTCTTTAATTTAATGTTTTTGAGCTGGTATATTGTGCTGCTAGTTAAGTAGCTTTTTATATGTATATAAGTTTGAATGTAAATGAATTAGCTGTTTTAGTCATTATTCTCACGAAGCAGACCTGAAAAGGCTGCGAAACGTCAATAAAAAAATTAAGTTTCGGGCATTAAATCGTTAAAACTAGTTTTATTTAATGCGTGATGTGCGTGAAAACTTAAGAAACAAATAAGCTGTTATAGTTGTTTTTTTTTTAAGTTTTGATTTTTTTTCTCTTTCTTTCTCTTATTTACTTTACCTTCGTATTTTTCTCTGCTTAGCCCGATAGTTGACTGGCCTGAGAATGCCTTATGGCATTAATTCCGCCATTTGTTGAATAACAATGAAGAGTAAAACATAAATAATTATGTAATTTTCATATTCATAGAAAACATAGTATAAAACGTATATAAAATATAGTATAGTTCTGTAGGATAATATTATTATTATCATTTTCTCTTAACTTTAGTAGCTCGTACTCTATCGCCAAAACATCCGTCTCATACACCCATACTGGTTGACTGGTAGAGAATGCCTAAGGCATTAAGTCCGCCATTTACTATTTTTGGTAATAAAGAATAAATAAATAAATAAAACCAATTTTCAAATAGCAAACAGCATCTGTTTGTCTCGACGGCGGAATAACTAAGAACAAAACCTTTCCTATCGCATCGCATCCGCCGAGAATAATATGAAAATTCTGGAGACTAGGGCCTTGTGATTTATTCGTCGATTACTTTCAAGCTTACCACAAAACGTTCGATTTTGTTCAAGGAGGATTTATGTTCTTCATTTTTTGTATAAGTAAGATAAAATACGAGCCACAGAATAATCGATGATACCACCTACCAAGTCGGGGTAAGGGTTGGTATTACAAAAATAATTGCTCGTGTAAATTATTATTACCTACACATAGAGACGTGAACCTTATATCAGACTGGAATAGGTATGTTTCTAGATAGTTAAAAAATATTTTACGACTGTTCAGTAAAGATCCTGGGTTTGAAGCATGCTTATATTCGTGTAATGAGTACAAATAGGGTATTTGACAGTATTAAAAATAAAGTGCCAATTGTTATCATCTGTGTTGAGATTGAATATTGGCAGGGGTTTTTACTATTTTTACAAAAAAAATATCATAATTTTACTAAAAACCCTCGAAAAAGATAAGTTTTCTTATCTATTGTCACGTGACCCAAAACGCTAGGGATTGGTGGAGCCTAAAATGACGTCACACGCAAGTAAACTTCCGGTTAAAGTGATATTACATTGTATCTTTGACGTTTTAATAACAGTCGTGTGACGTCACACACTAGTAAGACGCCATATTGTCCAGAGAAACATTTTCGCGGCAACTTGAAAATGGATTTTTGATTTGGTTATTTTTACTGAAATACACAACAGAATGATGAATATCCAATTTACGGACTCCATAAACATTAGTCAATAAAGTGAGATCGTTGCCTAAAACTTGTAAAATACCCTATTGGGAGCGTTAAGGCTAATTCACTTGTATGTTAAGCGATTAGTGCATTCTCCCGAATAGCACAGGATGTTGGTTTTATTCCAGTCTGATACCTGGGCAGTTTTGATTTTTGTAGTAACAGTTTTGGGTGAATAAATCCATACTAAATCTATATAAAAAATCACTTGCATGAATATAAATCCACATAGTGATGTTTCACGTTACACCGAACAATACTTGAACCTCTTGGTTAACGTATAACTTGGCATTGAATGAAAAGTAATTATTGAATTTTTGGCTTTGTACATTAACTTAGAAACGGCTGGTTAAGCTTTTTTCAGAGTAGTTACGTAAGCCATAATAACGATGTTAATATTAGATTGAACCTAATTATTGATATAC